GTGTGGTTTTTTTTTTTTTTGAAAGTTAATGTTTGTGTGTCATTTGTGTGTGCTAGTTAATATTTTAACTGTTGAAACAGGAAAAACAAAAGATGATGGTCATTCTTGGATTAGCTGTCTCAAATTTAAACACTCGGTCTTCTTAAAATAATTGTAAAATAGTAGAAAGGCATTCCTATAGCTGATTTTCACACAACATGAACCTGGTCCAAAATGGTGGGAGGGAATGAATTCCACCTTCTAACTAGGATCGTGTCGTTTAGCAGCTTGATAACATAGCATCCTGCTGTTTTCATCCTTTGAATTTGAACCTAAGATTTGTTTTCAGCTTTGAAACTTTTGAATATGGACTTATCATGTCTCGTAACTTTGCTAAACATCAAATTTCAAAGCTATTAAGTCAGTGCTGAGAACATCACATTCATTGCTGGAAATAGTCTCTAATATTTGCAACATATGACAACACAGAAGTTTGCTTTGGCTTTTCATGCTTCTTTCTTCCTAAGCTTTAACTCAGAATCCATACAACAAAATTTTTATTGAGGTTATAAATACAATTACGAAGACAAACTAAGGCCGATGAGGAAGCCATATGCCTTTCCAAGCTTCTTAACTAGCTTGTGCCTAACTTATACCTAACCCTAATTAGCACAATTAATCCGGAGGCAGTCTCCACCACTTGTCCTTCCCTTGCATGCATATGTTTTTGGTTGAGCTCTGATCTCTTATCCAACCTCTGTTCTTCCAAAGAGAAACCACAATCCATAAAAGTTGAAAGAGTATAGTATTGTTCATTTGGATCCGTATTGTCTATTTAAATTTATTTATTTTACAATTTTATCTCATAAAAGGGATTTTATGTTAAAAATGGTATGACCTTTAAATATTTAATTTTATTTTAATATACAATTAATGTGAGATTCGTTGTTTTTCACTAAAATCATGAAATCTTCCCCTAAACATTTTATCCTCTTCAATAAGGATTTACTATCCTTAGTGATATATTATTAGTATTCACACAACTCATCTAATATCAATTATCACGATCCATATGAATTCACAAATTATTATATATTTTGATTAATTGATTTCATAATTTTATCTCAAAAAAATATTTTACAAATTAAAAATGATGTGAAATTTAAACATTTAGACTCACAATCATGTGATATTTGTATATCCCATTAAAATCATGAAAAAACGTTACTAATACTCACAAAATTAATCTAATATCAATTGCCACAATCTATATTAATTTATAAATTATTGTTCATTTTGACTAAAGAATTTTATAATTTTATCTAAAGAAAACATCTCATAAATTGATTATGATATAAATTTTAAATATTTATTCTCAGAATCACGTGAGGTTCATATATATCGTTGCGATCATGAAAGTAAGAAGTACCTCCTAGCTGAAACCAATAATGGAAGTAGGAAGTACCTCGAGGCTCGTGGGCGCTGTCAAGCTCTAGCATCCTAATTTCATTCACGCATTTAATTAAGGCCGCTGTACACAGCCCCCAATTTCCGATGGTAGAATTTAGATATTGTTGCTTGATCCTTACGTTTTCGGCTTTTGTCAGTTTCATTACTAAAAAGGCAGGTAATAAAACGATGTAGTTTCAGTTGGTAATGACCAAAATATATGTATACGGATCTAAATATTTAATATAATGATAGAAATACGCATTTTTATTCAAATAATTGAGTTAGAAATCCCAATACTTATGCCAAGAAAAATCTTTGAAAGAAGTCGGTAGAGTGCACGTTTTTTGGCATGGACATAACCACACTCGATGTTTTTGACCTGCCATCCACCAACTTGTCTAACGCGAATGACTTAATTAGCCTCCCTCTTAGATTTAAAGGTGAAACAAATTAGGAAAAAGAATTATCACTAATAAAATAGAGTAAAATGTAGGTGTCCGAAGTCGTCTCACCCGAAAGGAAATGGACAACTGAGTAAATTCAACATAAGACAATAGTTAATAATAATATAATATACGAATTGATAAAAGAAATACTAGTAAATAAATTAAGGATAGATGTGAACGACCCACCATTTCTAAGGACTATTAGGTAATTTAATTGATTAAAAAAGACAAAAAAAATTCAAGAAAAATGCATTTAATATACTTTTGGCGTGGAATCCGTGGCCTCCAAATAGATACAAACAATTAAAAAGAAATCAAGGATAATTATTATTCTTTTAATTTTAACATTTTAAATGTTTTTTAAAATAATCATAAATGCTATGATCAATTTAATAAAATATTGACATCAGCAAAGAGAAATATAATAAAAAAAGAGAAATAATTTTTTAAAAGTGGAGTTCTTTAAAAAAAAAATAAATAAATAAATTAGGACTATAAATTGCAGGAGAAAAAGAACATAAAATGTATAGACAGAAAATTGCATTGGGGTGACCATCAAAGCCATCCTGTCCAATTGAGACCAAAACTACTGAAGACGCTGAGCGGCGACAAAAAGAAAAAAGATCTTAGCGATGGCTTTGCAGCTATGGGAGACTTTGAAGGAGGCCATAACGGCGTATACGGGTCTATCTCCGGCCACTTTCTTCACGGTTCTTGCTCTGTTGTGGGCCATTTACTATGTCGTAACGGGTCTGTTTGGGTCGTCCGGTGATCAACATCTACGGACTAGGGCTTTCGAGGAGCAGATGGAGCCACTCCCGCCTCCGGTCCAGCTCGGCGAGATTAGTGGGGAAGAACTTAAGCAGTATGATGGTTCGGATTCAAAGAAGCCACTCCTCATGGCCATCAAGGGCCAGATCTATGATGTTTCTCAAAGCAGGTATAACGCTGCTACTTTTTCTTTTCTTTTGGATTTTCTTCTTGGATAAGATATTGGGTTTTTCCTTTTCACAATTTTTTGGGTCAACGGTTGTGTTAGGAAATCAGCTTTGTTATGGTACTAGCTTTTTGGGTATGGAAATTTTGGGGCTTTAATTTATTTCTATGAGGGACTGCTTTTGAGGTTTTCTAGAATTAATTTTATATTTTCTTCAATTTTATTTACTTTTAACTTGCTTTAATTAAAGGTTGAACTTGTAAGCTTTCTTGGTTGCAGCTTTTTGCTGCTCTCCTGGTTTCTTTGAACTTTCAGTTGATGGATATAACTATCCAATTTGAGGCTTCCCTTTTCATTTTTCTTTGGTTATAACTGAGCAGGATATGATATTGCTACCATGTGATAAAATTATAAGTAGCTATATTGGTCTATGTAATTCCAGTGATGGGTTGCAATTGATTTCTTAATTATGGATGATCTGTGCCTAAAGTTGTGAGATAAATATAATAATGCTTGTTAAATTAAATTTCCAGACTTTGACCCTAAATCACATGTTTTGACTGAGTGAAAAATGAAAATTGAATAATATGGTGCCCTTTGCTGCCATACGGAGATTTAACCTGTTTCTATGGTCACAGATATGAACATGTTTTTGTACCTTAATCGATATAACTCTATTTCAATTAAGCTAAAAGATGAGATAGGTATGCCTGTTTTGCGAACTGTGTATCCCTCCAACTAAAAGTTGGAAACTTAATTTCAGTACTGATTGGATCACTCCCCTGTCCTGTGTTTTCCTTGTCACCTCGTTCTCGCTCTAACACAGTAACACACACACACATGTGCACCATATGTACTCAATTGATAAAGAGAGTTTGAGGTAAGCCTCAAACTTGGTTGTGCCTTACTTGTCGATATTATGTCAACGAACTTTATTCCTGCACAATTTGCTTTGGTTCATTTTTAACTGAAATAATTTATGTTTCTAAGGCTAAAATAATTTCTGCCGCTTAAGTTCTCTCCATTTATTCCTATGTGATGTGATTTGCATTAATTTCATTAACTTATTTATGCTTCTATTGTCAAATAGTTTGTTTAAATTTAAGTTACAATGTCAAAAATGTCATCAACTAGCATATTTTTGGAGTAATTTATATTTGTAACTGGCTAAGTTCAGTACAACTAGTAATACTTTATTTTCTGGCTTGAGACTTCGTATTGTAATACCATACTGGTTTGATGCTATTTTGTTGCACATGATCTATGTGTGACGAGGAAAGGTCCACTCCTCCCACATCGGGCAGGTCCTGGGCTATAAGAAACAGGGTGCTGCACACCTGTGACAACCGGTTTTCATGGGAGAGGGTAATGACCCCGTGACATATGCATGATGTGTCAGGAATACTTGAGTATCACTTTTCAATTGATCTTGCACATAATTTGTTCAGAAATTCTGTCTGATCATAGAATTTGCAAGAGGCATGGTTAATCATATATATGCAAGAATTATGCATATTTGAATTAGAAAGTTCGTAGCTGTTACCTGAATGTAATTTCGCTTGCAGAATGTTTTATGGACCCGGTGGACCATATGCACTGTTTGCTGGAAAGGATGCTAGCAGAGCTCTTGCAAAGATGTCTTTTGAAGAAAAGGATTTAACTGGGGATATCTCTGGTCTTGGTCCATTCGAATTGGAGGCTTTGCAGGATTGGGAGTACAAGTTCATGAGCAAGTATGTTAAGGTTGGAACCATCAAGAAGACCGTTCCAGTAACTGAAGAGACTGGCAGTGGTGAAGCCTCAGGAGCCACAGAAAGTGATGCTAAGCCTGCTGAGGATGGTCCATCTGATAGCGCAATTGCTGGAACTGAGGAAAAATCTTCTGGTGCTGATGCTAAGGAGGAGTGATATGGTTGGGCTTAGTTCTTGCTGTTTTTAAAGGGTGATCACTCTTTCTACCGAAGATGCCGCAAGAGATGGAGTAATGTTGTTTGCAATTAATACTTAGTGCAGAATACTGTTTTAGCAAACTGGCTTAGTTCATCAAAAATAAATCAAGATGTTAAATCTTTCGGGATTCAGGCAAATAATTGTGATGTTGAGCTGGTTGATGTGTAGCCCGGACTTACTTTGTTCACTAAATCAGTAGGTGCTGTGGGTGCATTATAAGATATTAAAACAGGTCCTCCCTTTCTCTCGAATCTCAATGCATGCTGAATTGTTCAGCTAGGGTTTACAATCTTTCCTTGAAGTGCTTTCCGATATATAAATGGTGAGTGTTTTGAGTTTGAAATTTGTCAAGTAAGTCATGTATGCATTTCATATGGTGGATCACGAGTTTAGCTTAAGCAAAGGAGGCCAAAAGCGGTTTCTGAGTTCTTTTAGGCATTGATGACGAATTGCATAAAGGCATGTGGAGAATATATAGCTCGATGTATAGGAAACTATGACAGCAAAGAACTCCTGACAGAGTGAGAAGCCATTCAATCACCCATATTCCAAAGATGTTTGAGTCGTCATGTTACTGCTGTTTACAACTTGGGGCCGAATTAACTTGGAGGGTTTAAGTATTAGATTTTCGAATTTCAAACAAACTTAGCTCTAACCAGGCCTAGTGGGCTTCTGTGGAGAATATGAGACATAAGAAAGAAAACCTGCCTGCCGTCCGCCAATTCATTTATTTAACTGCTTGAGAGCTGGTAAACAAAATGAATTTGTTTTGTCTTAAAAAAACATGCCGAATCTTGATAATACTACTTTTCCCATTTATAGATGTTGAACACTGGGATCTTATCACCCTTTAAACCGTCATTTTCCAGTATTAATTGAAGTAAACATTACTGGATCTGATGCATTTTCAAAATACTTTGTTCCTTAGTGGGTAGGTAGTTGGCTTTCAATCCAGTGAATCGGGAACAAAGCTACGATTTACTGATACTTTTGTTCTTTATGACGTTTAACTGGCTCTGGACTTCGATATGTAGAGGCTGAGTTGACTGTAGATGTTTGCGGACGGATTAGGTTTTAGTTGTCAATCATGCTAGCACGCAAGTCAAAGCTGGCATGGACCGTAAACAGCCAAGCATGTGGATGCCCAGAAAATTTGTAAGCTACTCATGCAATGCGCAGAAAATTTTGCAAATGTTTCAAATGTTAACTGATGCTGCGAAAAGAGGCTCACACTGTTCCAGCTTGTTCCCTTTAATGCAGCTCCCACTATGGTAGGTACCCTGGTGGTAGCCATTTTCACATTCCATTCCAAACCTGTCTCTCAAGCCTTTGGATCACAACAGGTAATTCAAAACAGGACCACACCGCATCACCAAATTGGAGAAGGGATCAAAGTTCCTGGAACCTCAGCAAGACTGCTTGCTGATGATAGAGATTCGTAGCCCCCACGAGATATGATGCTTTATATAATAGGCTCGCTGGTAGTTCATCTAAAATTCTGAATCTGGTGCTCGAAAGCTCCTGTTACTCAGGTACATCTAGCAAAGGAACAGCGTAGTTTCACTGGAGGGCAAGGTGAAAGGACAGGTGATTATGCTATAAGTTTCACTTTCTGAGGTTGGCAGTTGAGATGGGCATTGACATATCCAATCAAATGTACAATTTATTCAATGCCTGGTCCCTTAAAGACGACTAACCTCACGTTGAAGCCAAATGTTATCAAACCTGTCCTTTCATTACCACTTTCGAAAATGATAGGAAACACGTTTAATCATCTATGCCAAGAATCCTTATCTGCCTTCCAGCATTTTACAACAAATTATCTTAGAAACTTAGGAAGTCTTGCTGGATTCATTACACATGCCGACTTAAACTTATCTGTAGCTGAAGTTCATATCTGATATCAAACTCCACCAAATTCTTGGCTCTTTGTTTTAAATTTATCCCATTTGAAGCAAGAGTGATAATCCATTATGAAAGGTGGGCCTAACAATGATTAAAAAGAGGGGCACTCATGTCATTCTAAATACTAGGAGTGACTATTGGAAACTGGTACCTTATCACCGTTATATATAGACTTCAAACCTAGAAATCCAACTCAGAAGGTCCTGTTTTCCTGATACCCCTTTTCCAGTCATTTCAGACCATGAGAACTCTTAGTCCTTTTCTTCCACTTCTGATATTCGCAATTATGCTAGCAACAGTCCATCTTTCTAGTTGTCGGCAAGTCACCTGGGCTTCCTACCAGGAAACACAACAACAGTTAAGAACCAAGTTTCCTTTTTCATTGCCAGAGCATTTTTCTGCTAGCTCTCCTCCTGTGTCTGGAAACCAGAAGTACGGGGCAATTCGCGGTGTTACGCATCAACTTGTACCCGGAGGACCAAACCCACTGCACAACTGATCAGAATTCTGTTTATGTTCATATGCAATCTTTCCAGGAATGTATATTCTCTTCCCTCTTGAAAGGCAGAGAGATACAGTTGGTTCTTGGAAAGAAAGAATGAAAGTGAGGGAAGACACTTTCAGATAGTGTCTTCCCCACTTAGATCTGGAAGCAGATTCTTTCTTTCCTGGAACCAAATTATCGTTTTAGTTAGTGTATTGATCAAAAGCATGTTTCAGTGTTGATGAAATGCAATAAGCGTAGGTAAATAACTGTTGAATTTGCCATGATAAGATTGCATTTATAATTGGCTGTTCACTATGTTCAAGTGTATAAAATCATTTGTACTTGTGCATTATCAGCAGCAGTTTCTTTTCTCTATTGAGACTTTTCACCTGGAATAATGCATTTGAAGAATTTTATCATGTATTCACGAATTCCATTTTTTGGTTTCTGATTTGTATTGGCAAGAACAGCAGTGTTCACTGAAAAGTTATTGCCGATCTATCAGCATATCTTCTTCACACCGATGAACAATTGGAAGTTGATAATAGATCCCCACGAATTACTATAGAGCACAAACAAAAAAGTCAACTTCAGGTATTTTCTTCCTTGGGATAAGCATAAAAAAACAAAAAGAGCTGCCTCAAGTAATTTATAACCAAAAGATAAATGTCCTTAACAAGAGGTAGCATCTACCAACTTCCTGCTTCCACTTTGGTTGTTCAAGATTCCAGAGTAACCCCAATCTCAATACTTCCAAATTCTCAGAACACTTTAGCGAGTCAAAGCACGGAGACTGTGGGAGCGGTAGTCCTCTTTATACCTTGTTTAGACTTTAACCCATGCTACAAGAGGATAGCATAAGTAACCGGGGTGGCTTAAAAGTGATCAACTGATCAAGGCGAAGTAAGTTTATACAACAATTGGAACTGGTCAAATCTACAAAATTTGACAAGAAAATAGTACTAGGAACTAATTTTTCTTCCCTGATGTCATTTCCATATTGTTTATTAACCGAGTAGCCTGCACGCTAAAAACATCATTTTGGCAATAAACACA